ACATTCTTCTGCCACCAAAGCTTAGATCACATAACGATCCTTCTGCATTCATACCTCACAAACAGAAAAATCTAAAAAACTCTGTCCCCCACCCTGATAAATATCAGAAGAAATCCTGCTTAAGATGAATGGAGCTATGTTAGTGAAAGCATAGTAATAATAGCAATAGAGAATTAAACACTCAGATGAAGAAATTCATTATATTGCCATCAGAATTTTGATATTGCATAGTAAAAGAGATTGAAAACATATGTTGTAAGACACAACAGAGATGAAATACTGAACATCTGTTTATTAAGAAAACAATTAACTTTGTCTTATGCAGTGGGTGAGTTGAGATTCCTAGAAGTATAAACAAATGATCAAGCACTGTCACACCTTTACACAGCATCCAACAAGGACAATTTCAATTGTAAAGACAGTTTTAATTCTTCCACATTAGAATTTTCCATGTGATGTTTTTTCCATATTTTTCATGCAGATTTCATACTCCATTGGAAGGGCAGAAATCCTTATTAATATAATTAAACTTCAGCTTTATTGGACATAAACCATGTGCTCTGTAGGACATGAATCCTTAATAATGTAAGCACAGGAATCCTTATTAATGTAACTGATTTTCTGCTTTATAGCACATAATCCATGTGCTATAAACCATGTACTATATAGCATATGACCAGTATGTAAGGCTGGTTAAAGACAACCTGGGCCAGAGACACTTCCCCCTTTCCCTCAGAGGACTGAGTATATAAAAAACTACCGAAGCAGCTCGTTCTCCAACTCAAGTATGGACCTAAACCTAAATTCTGTCTTGCAGTCAAGCCATTTGGACCATGCTTCCATTCCCTTTTGGTTTAAACCCACTATTGTAAGGACATCTCTGAGCTTCTGCTACCTTTCAACAGGGATTCAGCAATGCTAACTGCCTAAAACTTGTGTGAGACTTTCAGGAAGCCAAACTGTGGACATTGTCTCACTAAGATAGGTAGAGTGTTATCTACCAAGCATGGACTAAGGGATCCTCAGGACTGGGCTGTACTTGCTATTAGCAAGGTAACAGGGATATTAGCTATCCATAGCCTCACCTGCCAGACAAAGGGGCACTGGGGACTACTCTCAGTAGTCATGCCTGTGTTGCTCAGGTGTGGTAATTCTCCCCAGGGACAGACTGGATAGGGCCCAGAAGATCTGTGAGGCATTAGTGTTAAGACCAAAACCAAATCAGATCAGAATGTTAGCTGCATGCACACCTCCTGCGGAAGGAGGAAGCTGGACTATACCCCAGCTATGGTCTTTATATTCTTTCAATCCATTTTCACTACCAGATGCTGGACTTTGAAATTGGGTAGTAGCTCAGACAACTGGTGGTCCCATTATTACAAAGTGTCATGTTCAAATGTTGTTCCTAAAAAATTCATTTCCAAATGAAAATGCAGCATATTTTTAATGGGGGGGGGGGGGGGGGGG